ATTTAGTAAGTTAATTGATGATGGATTGGAAGTATTTATGGATGATTTATCTGTATTTGGAACATCATTTTATGCATGCTTAAATTATCTTGAGAAAGCTTTAGAGTTATGTGAAAGAACTATTTTAGTTCTGAATTGGGAGAAATGTCAATTTATGATTGCATGAGGAATTGTGTTAGGACATAAAATTTTGGAAGATGGTATGGAAGCAGACCCTGCAAAAATTCAAGTTATATCTAAACTAACACCTCCTACTAATGTAAAGAGGTTAGGAATTTTCTTGGACATGTTGGTTCTTGCAGCCATTTTATTAAAGATTTTTCAAAAATTACCAAACCTCTATGCCAACTTCTAGAAAAGGACAAGAAATTTGAATTTACTGAAAGGTGTTTAAATGCCTTTGAGCTATTAAAGGAAAAATTAATCACAGCTCCTATTATAGTTTCACCTAACTGGGAGAAACCATTTGAACTGATGTGTGATGTTAGTGATTATGCTATTGGAGCTGTACTTGGATAAAGGTATGAAAAGATTTTTAAAGTTATATACTATGCTAATAAAACTCTTAATGATGCACAAATTAACTATAATGTTACTGAAAAAGAGTTACTAGCCATTATGTATGCTTTAGATAAATTCAAATCTTATTTAATTGGAGCTAAATGTGTTGTGCATACTGATCACTCTGTTATTAAATATCTGATGCAAAAGTATGATGCTAAACCAAGGTTGATTAGATGGATACTTTTGATGCAAGAATTTGATCTTGCGGTTATTGATAGAAAGGGAACTAATAATCAAATTGCTGATCGTTTGTCAAGATTAGAGAACCAAGAATCATCTGACACTATTTATGAAATTACAAACAGTTTCCCTGATGAACAACTTTATAATATTAATGAGTGGAAAATACCATGGTATGCTGAAAATTTTAAAGTAATTTGAGTTGAATTTAATGATTTATGAAATGGAAAGCCCTAGCGGCAAAATGATAATTATGGGATTTTGATGCCCTAATTAACTTTTAGGTAAAGTCAAAGGGTAATGGGCAATATTGATCATAATGAACTCCTTGAGATGTTTGGAACTTAAGGGCTAAGAGGTAGAAACCAACTTGCCACTTTCCTATAATAAGAGTAAAATTGTAATTTTTCTAAATTATTATGACTTGGAAGTTAACCTAATTGGATGATCCTAAGGTTGGGCTTGAATTAGGAAGATAATAACTTAATCATTTGAAGCCCCCCCTAATTTATGACTAATGCAATCTTTCAATGAGAATTAAATCCACTTAATTCAATATCTTTGATTATTGCAAATTTACCCTGGACACTTGACTTAAGGTCTTAGTTGTGAGTTAGGCTCAATTTAAATTTACTTAATGAAGTTTAGAAAAGGAAACTAAATTAATGATGAATACCTTTAAAGCACTACATGCCCAACTTTAATCGTGAGTCCAAGATCCTTAATGATTTAAGCTTGCTCTTAAGGGCATCCACTTACATAACTCTTAAATAAAACATTAAGTGAATGTCTAAGTACCCCGCTCATGGGATAATTAAAATATCAAGGTTCGTTAAGAACAAAATAAGTTAATTCACTAAATCTGAATTTAACTTTGGATGTTTAATTGAACAATGTAATAAGTTCAAACGAACTTGATACGGTTCAAGGGGTTTTAAGAGTTTATAGGGTTATGCCCCAAACACTTTTATGATCTTTTGGATATTTTAAAAAATAATTGAACTTATTATTCTTTGTTCAAGAAAATTATCCTTAAGACTTTAGGGATACACTAAGTTAGGCCTCGGGACCTGATAATTCACACAAATCAATAGAAATGCCCTACACTACTTATCGCATATTAATTAACCCAATGCTCAGGGATTTGAGTGTTCTATAAGGTATTTAAATCCTTGTGAGCAACTGAAGATATTTGTTTTTGCCACAAATGGATCATCGAACTTATGTAAGTTTGAGGTCTAGGTGGCTAGGGCGATGACGATAATGCTAATGTGTGCTAAATGATGGATACAAAGTGTGATTTGGAATAGTAGCTCCTACCTCAAGGACCCTCAATAAGGGAAGAGGATAAGGAATGATGATGTTATTCACCGACTCTTGATGAGATTGTCACCCCCGAATACTCTTAGGTTGCCTGTAATCCTAGCTAAATCAAAGTAATTAACATGTGGACTATACTACTTTCCAAAGTATTTACAAAAATGATTTTTTTTCTATTAAAGTAAATTCTACATACATTAAAATTAAATTAAAAATGAAAACTTATAAGGGTCCACGATTAATATCTTGGATTGAGGTTAGGACTGCTCTCCATAAATTAGCAGGTTGGTAGCTTGAGAAAGCACATAGTCCAGCTTTGAGCCCCTTACACTTAGCTCTAATCTTTCATATGTGACTATGGGTTTTATTCTTCTTACTCGTGACGCATTTTTCAACTTTTTCCCCACCGAATGCTCCTGTTTACTTTCCTACAATTTATTTAAATTTTCTGCAAATACACTTTGTTTTATGACGCTAACCATGCAGTGGTAGTAGAGGCCCAAGTACGCATTGAAATTTTATTTATTTACCTTATAGCATTTTTAACCTGCATTTATTTGCTTTACATGCAAAATTAAAACAAAACTGAAAAACACAAAAATATTTTCAAAATTAAATCTGCACTTTCAAAACAATGAACGAATATAATACACTCCTTTTGGGTTTACAAGGATTTCTCGGATGACTCGGATGAGGTAACGAGGTAACATGCCGTTGCTAACGGGAGTTTCCCGGTTTAAATGAGCTTAACAACTCGTTTAGACTAAGTAGATTCAAGAGAAAATAGTTGTGTCGGAATGAGGGAACTCTAGATCCTAACCAGCGTCGCTCTAATTAAATTAAAATCCCTCATAAAGACACTTGAATAATAATAACAAAACCCATCACTTAAACTGCAAAACTATAAAACCTTGAACCTGGGCCGTTGCAATAAGGAGCTTAGAGCTAACTCTGTGGGCAACATGACAATAATGTACATAAGAACAACTTTCAGAGAACAAACAAATCTACAATAGCAAACCTTTCCTTAAAGTTAAATAACAAGTCATAGGACTTCGAGGTAGCTCGTCTAGTACGACATAAATCCTCAATTTATCTATAGGTCTTTGCTTAACTATGTTGTGCAATATAAGTCCTAACTCACTTTAGTCTCCGAGGTTGTCGTTCATTATGACATAAAGCATCATATCTTCCATGCTATTTGTATCAACATGTCATGCAAGTGTAAGCCCTAAAAAATAATAATTGACAGAATGAAATATCTAATAATATTTCCAAGAAATTGAAGTCAAATCATAGGATAGCTTGAGAAGTCACTGAAGTTCTCCTCAGGATTCGTGACATTCCCTAGTTTTCTCTCTTTGGATTCCGAAAATAACTGTTCTCATTTGATTGTTCTTAATTGATACTCCTTTGTCCAACTTTAAGGACTAAACTTTGAAATTCTTGAGGACAATACATTCTGATCTAAATCAAGAGTTTCTTGAGTGACTTCGATCATTTAAGATGTAATTATCTATAGAGGTTTGCCCTTATAAGAAACTTTGGAACCCAACTTAATATAAATCCTATCTAATCTTTCATATAAGATAAGGGAATTTGTCGGTCAAAATAAATATTTTGCAGACCAAAATAGATGTCATAAATTCTTTAGTTTATTTAATCAAATCTTAATATCAAGTAATGTATCTATTCATCGAGATATGTCGTCACTTGCAGTGTTGTATTTGTTTAATTAAGTTTTTACATATATGAGATCAGTCTGGTCTCATATTTTCAAAAATTAAATATACTACTTTTCAAAATTATATATATATATATTTAAATTATATTTTCAAAAACACCAACATCATGTTTGGCAGCCGACAATTATATATATAGTTAATACACTTTTTTCATGTTGACGACCGACACTATCCTCTATTCATCTGAGGCCAGGTCTTCAGTTGAACCAATTATAGTTTTTCGATCGACTGAATGATGGGTCATTGGTCTTCCATATGAGGGTCTTTGGTCGACCATGTTGCAGTGCTTCGATCGTCCAGGGTGTGGATCTTTGGTAGACCAAGTTATGGTCCTTCGTTCGACAATTCTATGGACATTCTGTCAACCAAACTTTGGACCTTCGATCAGTTTTCTCTCTTGATTCGATTAGTAGTTACTGGACCCCAGCGACAGGATGAGGCTAGGCTGTCGGACAAGGAATTTTACCATAACCAGACATGTAGCTCCACCCCTTCAATAGGAAAGCTGCAAGGAAGTTTTTTGTTGGTATCACGTTATGTGCTGGTGGTCGTAAAAGGCCTTAGATGTTTTTTTCGAGATGATTTGTGGTGTTATCTTGAGGAGCTCTACGATTCTCCTTTCTTGAGGGATATTCCCTGATCCTTGTTTGGAGGGGTTGGTGTACAACATGTCCTATACACTTTCTTAGAGAGCCCTTGGTTAGACATTAAATTTCATGGGTTCATGTTGATGTGATCTTTGAATTCTAGCGGCCATCTTTGACCATGCTTGTCTTTGAGGTCATAGGATTCTTCTGAGATTTGTGCTAACACATTATGGGTGTACATATAGATAACAATGAAAATTTTGAGGTTTTAAAACATTTTTGAGCTATAAATAAATTATAAATTTTAGATGTTAAATATATACATAAAGAGCTTTAAGCGGTATTTAAGTAAATAAAAAAAATAGGTACATAACCTTTAAATTTTGACAATTAGTAAAAATAAAAATCCACTTGACTCCAATTTTCAAATTATCTTTTATATTTCAAAATCTATAACAAAAATTCAAATAATAATTTCATTTTTTCAAATTTATAATAGTCATATAAAAATATAAATATGAAAGTTTAAAAAAATAATATACATATTAATTTTATCAATAAATATAATTTTAGACGAGCGCAAGAATTCGACCAAAATAAATTAGTCGCAAACGGTACCTTCCGTAGACGTTAGGGTTTAAGCAGCCCGACAGAAGAGCTTCGTCGTTGTTCGTCTCCCTTGCGAGTAGGAAGGAGCTTTCCTTTCGAGGCGGTAATGGACGCTGCCTACTGGATCCGTCAGCCGGTTCTGCAATCTCCTGCCGTGCCCGTGCCGAAGCGGCAGCGCACTAATTCCGGTATCATTCAAACTCGGACTCAAGCTGTTTCTTAGCCATATTTCTTGCCTTTTTGTTAATTTCTTGATTTATTGTTTACATAGCTTCAAATAAGTTATTTGAAGCTATTTGAGAGGTGGGAAGTTCTTTCCTTAAGCAATTCATGTGAAGCCTAGCTGGCGATAAGTGTAGGATTTATAGAAATTCTAAATTTCAACTATGCACGCCTTATGTCGAAAATATTGCCATAGAATGCTTCAGCTTTACTTCTGACTTGCATTTAACCTATTTTTCATCTATTATCAATATTTTATTTTTGCACAAGATTTCTGCAAAGCCTTACAAGCTAAACGAATTGATGACCCGATGACTACTTAGATATTTAAGAGAACTGCTCCATTTGTCAACCTGCATCTGCCTGCATTTACTTTTTAATCATTTTGTAATTTTCTTAGTAAAATATAATTTTTTATGGTAAAAATGTAGAATAGACGGAATGTGCACGTTTTTTGTGAAAAATTCCTTAGCACTAAATATTCAGCGACTGATTTATTAGCGACCAGAACTGCATGATTATCTGCATCACTTAAGTATATAGGAGTTGGCTGTTCAATAATGATCCCAACCAACTAAAAATAATAATGGCCATTTTAATGGCTGCTTGTTTGCCATGTGCCCTCTAAAATTCCCATCTTTAAGCCCTCATCAACCTCCCCATACAAACAACAATAACAACAAAACCTTTATCCCACTAAGTGGGGTCGGCTCTTTATCCTACATGAATCCTTTTTCTCCATTTGGTCCTTTTTAGTGTCATATTTTCATTTTAATTCTAATAAATTAAGATAATTTTTTATACAATATTCCCATGTCTTCCTAGGTCTACCTCTACCTTTCTTAACATAAGTAGAATCTAAAACATCTACTCTTCTAATCGAACCATCAGATAGTCGACGTTTAATGTGACCAAACCATCTAAGACGACTCTCTCTAATTTTGTTCGTCACTGGAGCTACGCCAACCCTATCATGGATATATTCATTTTGCATTTTTTCTCTAAGTGTAAAACCACTCATCCACCTAATCATTCCGATCTCGACAACATTTAACTTAGTTTTATGCTTTTCTTTTAAAGGCCAACATTCAACGCCATAGAGCATTGTAGGTCTCACCATCATCTTATAAAATTTTCTTTTCAGTCTAAGCGACACTTTTCTATCACAAAATAGGCCTGAAACATCCTTCCACTTCAAACAACCCACTTGAATTCTGCTAATAACATTCTCATCAATATTACTTTGAATAATAGACCCAAGAAATCTAAAGTGTTCACACATTTTAATAATTTGATCACCCATAGTTACATTTTTGTCACTAGAGCTACTACAACTAAAATTTCATTCCAGTATTCAGTTTTAGTTTCACTCAAACAAAGACCCTCAGACTCCAAGGTAGACCTCCATAATTCAAGTTTTTTCTGAGTTTTTTCTCTCGTCTTATCCACGAGAAAGATATCATCATCAAAAAACATACATCAAGGTACATCCTCCTGTAAGTGTCCATTATGACCATCTATAACTAAAGCAAAAAGATACGAGCTTAAAGCCGATCCCTGATGTAAACCGACATAAATAGGAAAATATTTGGTCAATCCTCTTTCTCTTCAAACACAAGTAACAACTTTTGTATTCATATCTTTAATGATTTGAATATAAGTCTTATCAACACCTTTCTTCTCAAGAATTATCCAAAGGATATCTCTTGGAACCTTATTGTAAGCTTTTTCTAAATCAATAAAAATCATTTGTAGATCCTCCTTATTATCTCTGAACTTCTCCATCAAACCTCTCAATAAATGTATAGCTTCTATAGTAGACCTGCCCGACATAAATCCAAATTAATTATAAGAAATCTTTGTAGTACATTTTAACATTTGTTCAATCACTCTCTCCCATAATTTTAAATTATGACACATCAACTTAATTCCTCTATAATTTGCACACTCTTGTGCATCTCCTTTATCCTTAAAATGGGGACCAAAATACTCTTCTTTCACTTCTCAGGCATCTTTTTAGTTTTTAAAATAATATTAAAGAGTTTATTAAGCCAAGAAACTCATAAGTCTCCTAAATATTTTTATACTTCAATTGATATATTATCAGGTCCTACAGACTTTCCACCATTGGTTTTCTTTAAAGCCTCATCAACTTCTTTTTTATTAAAGCGACGGTAAAAATGAAATATTTTATTATTATTAAAGATATTAAGATCACTTAGATCGATCGTAATTTCCGAAATTTCATTAAAAAGTTTATCAAAATAACTTACCCACCTATTTTGAATATCTTTTTCTAAGAAAATCACTTTTTGATTTTCATTATTAATACAATTTACTTGAGTTAAATACTTACTTTTCTTTTCTCTTTGTTTGGCTAATTTATACTTATATTTTTTACCCACTATAGTATCTAATTTATTATAAATATCACTAAAAATAAAATTTCTAGCATCATAGATTATTCCCTTAAACTCACTCCCTACAGACCGTTTGATATTTTTCCTAGCTCTCTAAGCTTTTAAATTTAAACTAATTTTTATAACATAATTTCTTATAATTTATCTTTTCTTGCACATTATTATTGTACCATCAATTATTTTATTTTTAAATTTTTTTTTCTTTTTGATTCTCGAAGTACAACTTTTGCCACTTGTTTAATAGTGTTTGCTACTTTATCACATATAGAATTTGCTTTTTCATGAACATCCCAAATTTTGAAATTTTGAGTTTTACTCATAAAAATACATTTATTTGTCTTTTAAGTACCCTATTTAATTCTACGATGATGATTCTTAGTATTCTTTATTTTACAACTAATAATCTTAAAATCTAAAACTAAAAATCGATGTTGAGTACTTAAATCCTCACTTGAAATGACCTTACAATCTTTACATTCTCGATGATCTCTTCTTTTCATAAGAAAATAATCAAATTGTGTTTTATTAGATAAGTAATAATATGCTCATCTCTTTTATTCAATGAATTATCAGCAATAACAAAATCATACGCTAAAACAAAATCTAATATAGCTCTATCTTCTTCATCAATCACTCCAAAACCGTAGCCACCATAAATATTTCTAACATCTTCTACAACTCTACTGACATGTCCATTTAAATCTCTTTCTATAAAAATTCTTTCTTCAAGAGGTATCATTTGTATCAAGTTTTCTAAATTATTCCAAAATTTATCTTTAGAACCTATATCTAATCCTAATTGAGGAACATAAGCACTTATAATATTAAAAATTATAATATCAAGAATAATCTTAAGGACTATAATTCTATCTCTAACTCTATTAATTTTTACAACATTATTTTTCAAACTCTTATCTATAATTACATCTACTACACCATTTCTAGTGCGACTCTTACCTAAATACCAAAGTTTAAAACCTTAGTTATCAAACTCAGCTTTTTCTCCAACCCATTTAGTTTTTGAACGTATAAGATATTTATCTTTCTATGAATCATAATATCAACTAATTTCATTAATTTACCAGTGAGAGTACCTATATTCTAAGATCCTATCTTAATATTAGTTTCATGGACTAGCTTCTTTACTCACATCCGTCCTTAATGTGAGAACCTTTGCTTTTTGATACTACATCCGGGCGCAGGTATAGCGACCCTTACACACATTTCTCTTTATTCAGACCATACAACGCGCCTCTTCTAGGGGACACCCTAGCACTTACACAATGATCAAAAGGATTCATGTCATGATTTTTTCTACAAGTTTTATGCTAGTTGTCGAATAACTAATGCAACCCTCTCCAGACAAACACCCATCAACAATTTTTCTCTTCAATTGTTGTGTTCTTGGTTATATTTTAGTTAGCTATTAAGATATTATGTATAAAATTTGAGTTTAGAAACAATTGTTTTGAAGGTTTTGTTGTTGGTATTTTGGTTAATCCTATCTTTCAATTGCTTTTATTGAGTCAAGAAAATTGTCGTGTTTTGCCTAGTGTGTTGTATTGCTGTCTTACGAATCTAAACACAAAAAAAGGAATTAGAAAAAAAAAAACAAATACATTGATACGTAGGCAGTTTGTTACTTGCCTAAAAATTTATGTAGATGGAGAGATTGGATAAAGTGTAGGATGTCCACCATAAGCTACATTAGTTAGATTGCATTCAGGATGCTCATTTATTTTATCAATAATAATTTAGTTGATCTAGATAAAATTTCATATAGTCGTCCTCATTTTTTTCTAGTAAATTATTCTCTCTTCTTGAGCCCCCATTCACTGCTTGAGACTATTGGCATGAAATGCTAGTCTTCTTTGCATGTCTACAGTCATCATTGACCTAACTACTTGTCTATGTGAAATAACATCATCTCTCTATACAGAGTTTATTTACTACAACAACACGAGCCTAGCGTAACTTGTGGTTTCTTGTTCTCAACATTTCATGAATTGCTATTTCTTTAAGCTACTAGATATTTGCAATGGGTCATAACTTGCTGCTATTTTTGGGGATTCGATGACTTGATAACTCATTATTGAGTTATTTTTTATTGGTGGTTTCTATGTGTTTTGTTATTGAAGACAAGTTCTTTGATTATAGATAAGGATTTTTAATGCACATAATGGATTGCTTCCAATAATAATTTTGTTGATTTTTTATTTGCTCTGTGGTTGTGTTGCTTGGATTTGATTTTTTTTTTGTTGGGATGTGCAATCGGTTAATTTGGATGGATTGACTCACAAATTAATCAAATCAAACCAAAGACCTAAATATAAAGAAAAAATCTGATCGAGCTTTTGCTAAAATTGATATAAATTGAACCAAAATATAATTCGATTTAATTAGTTCAATTTAGAACAAACCAAAATTCTGCATTTAACCTAAACTAATATAAACTTAAGGTTCTACTTCAAAAAAAAAAAGTTATTTCTCTCCTCTCCTCACTATCTCTTATGATTAAAAATTTCAAACTAATATAAAATGAACAT